ATCACTGCCCCCTAAGGGTTCCTTCACCTTCAGCTCCCTTATCAAGTCTGCCTCATTACAAAACACTAAATCCAGTATTTTAGTGGGCTCCACCACAAGCTGCTCCAAAATGCCATCTCATAGACATTCCACAAATTCATTCTCCTGCAGTCCATGACCAACCTGATTTTCCCAGTTCACCTGCATATTGAAAACCCTCCATGATCACTGTAACTTTGCCTTTCTTACACATCTTTTCTGTCTCCTGATGTATCTTGTGCCCCAGCTCCTGACTACTGTTTGGAGGTCCATACATAACTCCAACTTTGGGTTTTTTACCTCTGGTTCCTCAACTCTACCCACACAGATTCTACACCATCTGATCCTACTTCGTTTCTTACTATTAAGTTAATTTCATTTCTTACTAATAAGACAACCCCACCCCCTCTGCCCATCTGCCTATCTTTTCAATAAGATGTATATCTTTGGATATTTGATTCCCAGCCCTGATCCCCTTGCAGCCATGTCTCCATGATGCTCACCACGTCACATCTGCCAACTTCGATCTGCGCCACGAGCTCATTTACCTTCTTTCTTATACTGTGTGCATTCAGACATAACATGTTCAGTCCTATTAACTGTTCCCGTTCTCACTGTCATTCATTTATCTAGTGTGCTTGAAGTTTACTTCTTAACCCCTTCCAAACACACTATCCTATTTGTATCTGTGCTGGAGACTTTAATAACCTCTCCTGAGTTCTCCTTTCCTGTCACTTTTTTCATATTTTTCCACGCAGTGGAATCTTCCCCTACAGATGTTAACCTGCTGCTTTGTTCCCCATCAGGGGAAGTTTCACCCTTCCTTTCCTCTTCTTCTTCTTCTTCACCCCCCACACCCAAAACCCATCCTCTAGTTTAAAGTCCTGTTGACCAGTCTATTTACCCTTTTCACTACAACATCGATCCCAGCTCAGTTCAGGTGGAAACCATCCCAGCAGTACAGATCTCTCCTGTTCCAGTGCCCCATGAAAAGGAACCACGCTGTTAGCCACATGTTTACTTTCAGTAACCCGGCGATTATAACCTTTGAGGATCTGCTCTTTAATTTCGTTCCTAACTCCTGACAATCCCTGAATAGGTCCTCGTTTCTAGTCTTGCCTATGTTGTTTGTTCCTACGTGGACCACAACAACTGGATCCTCCCCCCTCAGATCCACAGGACCCCCAAAAGTGTTATATAATTAACACTGATTTGAAATCATCATTTCTCCATAAGTAGACTTTATTCAAGAGTTATGAAATTACATAAAACATTTTGACTTGAATTTTGTTGCAATTCTTGTAATTCTCAACTTCCCTACTGTATGTCCCACTCTGTCTGTTTGTAATGTTACTTTAGTTAATATTAACACCATATGTTCCATGTTGTGCATACAGCCCAAGGGAAAAAGTATTTAAATAAAAATTAGAGTACAATAGAAATAAACTTTTCATGTGCCATTTTCCACGTATGTCTCAATTCAATTTTGATATTCTTGATATTCACAATCTTTATTGAATGTTAGGCATAAAGTCTAAGAGATTTTATAGTTCCCAGCCTCTGTGTGCTGTGGCTGAAAGGCTTAGGCAGCAGCATTTCTGCATTACCTCTCTGCAATGGCTGACTGAAGCGTTAGTCTGTCCACTTAGTCCTGAACCATTGAATGTGCCAGCCTGCAACACCAAGGACAACTCGTCATACTGAAAGACAAGCAAGTTTCTGGTCAGACCATAAGAGTTTTATCAGTGAATTGATTGATTATGCTCCAACCAAGGTTGATACTGCCTGTGTGTGTCCCTGGGAACAGGCCTTGGAGCATCACGTCCTGCATCGGGTTGCTATACAGGGTATACCTCGACAAAACTGTGTCCCTCTCCAGATTTTTTTAATATATGGAATGTGCTTTTTCAAAGGTGGATGGTGGGCTCTTCTCTGCAGCGCCACCTAGAGGGCATGTGTGAGGAGCTAAGGCGCTGAGCATGTACAAAGAATCTGTCATGGAAATTCCATATTCTGTAGCTAAATATGGAAATGTGACCCCAATGTGGACACAAAGACGCAGAATTGGCAGAGATGAATGACTGGCTAACCAGTTGGATTGAATAATAGCAAAGACACCAGATTACCTTGTGCTGATGGCTCGGAGAGAGTGAGGGTACAAAGTGCTTTATATTGTAAATTGTCTGTAAAGGCAGTTATGTAATCTGAAAGATGAATCTAATTATTGCTCTGTATTCAACCAATTCATGATTAACACTAGGAATATGATATTTTGTGTACATTGTTCTGTGCTTTCATGTGACACTGCAACAGTGAAGGATTTAGGGAAGCAGAAAGATTGTTTAAAATTAGGAAAAATAGACTGTGTAAGTTCATCCCCATACCCAGAACCAAAGTGACTGTATTGCAGTTCAAGATATTATCTATGTTACATACTGTTTTCATGCTTATTATAAGAGTTCACTACTCATAAAAGTATAAACATGATCATGTGTGCATACTACTCTGGGTAAATGGGTATAAAGTGAACAATGCACACTGTCATTGAAATACACAATAATAGGCAATTAGGGATGGACAGAGAATAAGTGCTGCATGAATGATTTACCTTCCCTGCAGCCCTCAATCTCCAGACTGAATGTTAGAAGAAACACAGTAGAAATAGTCCTGTTCAGCACTGAGTGTTAATAATCTCTGTCATTTAAAACTGACAAAGATCAGTATTATTCTGTACTTAATTGTTATGACAATACATTTCCACAAAATCTCATGCTACAACAATGAAACAAATTTACATATAAAACTTAAACAGGCCCGATGAATCAATAAATTTTAGTTTCCAACATGTCAGTTTAAGTCCCAGTTTCAAGGCAAACATTTATTTTAAGATAAAGAGCTACAAATGCTGGAAATCTGAAGCAAAAACACAATGTTGGAGAAATTCAGCAGGTTTGGCAGCATTTATGGAGAGAAAACTGTTATTGTTTCAAGTCCTGTGACTAATGTTAATTCTTGATTTATTTCTAAAGATGTTGCAAGGTCTGCTGAGTTTCTCCAACAGTTTTTTTAATTAAATGTTTATTCTGTCTATTATATATTCAGACACTAATAAACCTTTTACATTATACCAGATGCTTATGGAGTATCATAATGTCTTCAGTGGAATAGCTTAATTTTTGAGTGCAGTTCTTCTCCTTCCTTTACTTTCATGCATCTTCTCTCCCCACCACCCCCCCAACATCTGTCTTGTTCTCCTGCCGCCTATCTTGCTGTTCATTATCACAGTCACCTTCTGTCATTCTTCCCTTGTCTCCTGCATCATGTCCTTCTGCCCCCTTTTTTTCCTCCCATCCTTCCTCCTTCCCATATGTCCTCTTCCCCTCTCGTGTCCTTCCCCTCCCCTCTCCTTGTCCCTCTTGCCCCTCCATACCTCTTGACCGCAGCTGCCCACCTCCCAACCCTACGTTTTATCCGCATCACCCTTCCTCTCCTGCAGCCTCCATTATTCAATACAGTCCTGACTTGTTCGCATCCTTCATAAGCTTCAGTTAGACCTACATTAGCAAAAATGCCCTTCTACCCAAGAGCTTTTTGTTTAATCCTTTTAGGACCTTGCTTCTCTGTCTCTATAAACTTTCTACAGATATTAGCACAGAGTGCTTAGCTGATTTCACCCCTCCCTCCCCACAATGTTCCACCTCTTCCTCCCATGCGGACTTATCAACCTTGGTGGCCATGTGTTCATAACGTACCAGTCATAGCCTGGAATTTTCTCTACAGTTCCCAGTCTTTTTACACTTAATCCTGAAATTAAACAACCACCAATTTTAACGTGATGTTGTGTATCGGCATGCATTTTCATCCAATTGCATGTTTTAAAGAGCTTTAGTTAAAGGCATTATAAGCTATTTCCCTGTATTAATAACTTTCCCTATTCTATTCCAGTAGGTAGACGTGCACATGTCAACAGTTAAGTTCAGTACGTGATCATCAACATTATCAGACCACTATCATTAAGGACAATGCCTGGTCCCTATTAGTTGTTATAGGCCAATTAGGGCTGGAAATTTGTTGGGGATATGTAATTTACGTTGAGGGTTCTGCAGTTATTTTGAAAAGTTCTAGACAAAAGTGCTTGGACCAAACAATGGTTCCACAATTCTATTTCTGCTGCCCACTGACTCTGTGCTAGGAAGTACATATTTACTAAGGATTGGATCAAGTTGAGCTGTGGTGTGCTTACAAGGAAAAATGGCCTGACTGTATTCATTGCCTAAATTCATACATAGAATGATTCTTTGGTTGAGCTTATGGAAGGCTGTGCCCATGAAACCGTAGACCGCCATGAGTCACCCTCCAAGGCGGAAACTATTGAAAACCTACTTGCAGTTAAGCATTGAGTTTTATACAATTGTTACATGTTTGGCATCCAGCGTAGCTCTTTATTTTCATTAAATCATGCCGTCCAATGTGTGTAGGGTTAATTGTTCATTAAATTTGTTTATGATGTTTAGCTGTGAGGAATTCCTAAGAAAGCTTTATTAATAAAGAATGCAAGTTCTGTGCTGGTGATGCATCAAGTTAGCTAAGTTTCCACATTAGTGATCCTGCAAACTTAAGTGAAATAGTTAACTGGATAGTCAACTTTGTGATTAATGCCTGCCAAGAATGCAGGATTGTGATTACCATAAGCATTCTTCTTTTTAAGAGCTTTTGAGTTAGTTGGAGCTAAGGTAGGGGTGAAAAAAATTCGAACACCAGTGAAACGTACCATTTATTTTTCATTTTTTAGCTTGATCATGAGAGCAGTTTAAGTCACTAAACATAAGTGGTGTAAAGGAACTGAATAACAATGTGCAAGTTGTAACACCACTGTAATAATGTTTCAGGAAGGGTTTGCATTCGCTATTTATTTAAGATACCAAGGACATTGTAAACTACATTTCCTGTTTCAGTTATCTGATATTACCTGTTTTGTGTAGTTTACCTAAAGCTGTAAAGAGAAGAATAAATGCCTTGAAACATCTTCAGGTCAAGTGTGCCCATATAGAAGCCAAATTTTATGAGGAAGTTCATGAGTTGGAGCGGAAATATGCAGCCCTTTACCAGCCATATTTTGAAAAGGTATGAGTGCTTACAAGTTGAGCTATTTCTTTTTTGCTTGTTAATCAATCCCTTGCCTTTCAAACAATCTTTAACTGTCTTAGACCAACACTCTGGCACTTGGTAAATAAATTAGGATTGGTTTGTAACAAACACTTCAGGAAATACCACAAATTTCTATGTTAACTTTTTTTCATGGCTATCACGTTTTCCTTGATTACTAGGCTGGGTGTTGTAGATATTGCCATTTAAAAGATATTTATGAAATTGAGGGGTGTTAGTGCTTGATAATGTTGCGTTTTAACAAATGTTAAGATGAAAATAGTTTTGAAATGTATTAAAAGTAAATTTATAGCCTCGAACATGGTATTCTGAAATGAGCGTGAATATGTTCTCGAGACCCTAGTTGCATTAACTCGGGTGCTGCCAGACTTGCTGAGTTTCTCCAGCAGTTTCTATTTTTGGTTCAGAATTCCAGCATCCGTAGTTCTCTAACTTTTGAGGTTATACTTTGCTGTCCTTGGTTGTTATCATTCCATTCAGCAATCCTGCTCTTGTCCTAACTTCTCTAGACTTGCATATATAATATTGTGTTTAGCATTCTCCAAAGAGCAGGATGCTTCTAGCTAATTTCTTTATAAACGGCAATCCCCCATGACCAAAACTCTTCCCTTGCTAACCATCCTGCTCAACGTATGGTCAGGTCGCTAATCTTGCCACAATGAAGTGTGCCTTTTTTTTACCAAGTATGCCCTAATTTGTCTCTGTTTTCTGTTTTTATTGTTGTTAACCTTATTTACTCCTATCATCTCTCCTTTAAAATCTTCCCTGTTTCCCTCCCAACCAAGCTGCACAATATTTTCCTCATTCAAAGTGTGCGTTGATCGGCTTCGCATATTTTGTGATTTTAAACCTCCATTTCAACTCCCCTCCCTCCTCAGAATTCACTGCTTTCCTGTCCTCCCTGAAACTCCCTTTTTATGCCTGTGACTTACTGAAAAATGTAGGAGAGTATGCCAGAAGAGCATCAGGTATATGTTAAAGTGAGGTGTCGATCTGGTGAAGCTAAACACAGAATTAACTGCACGCCAAACAGTGCAAGTAGCCTGCAATCAAAAGAACTAAGCAAGCCCCTTGTGGGTCAGATCAAAACCTTTGGAGACCTGTTACATCTTACAAAAGTTGGTGGACAACTGACCAATGGAGAAGAGTGCACAAATATTCCCATCCCTGTGATGGTGGAGCCCAGTGTAATGGTGCAAAATATGAAGCTAACGTATTTGCAACCATCTTCAGTTCAGTGTTAAGTGCATAATCCATTTCATGTCCTCCTGAAGTCTACAGCATTACAGGTGATACTCTTTACCCAAGTAGATTCACTCCATCTACTACCAAGAAATGCTGAATACCTGAATGCTGCAAAGTCTATGGACCTTGACAACACTCTTAACAATATTACTGGAAATGCGTGCTCCAGAACTAGCCACACCCTACCCAAGCTATTTTAGTACAGCTACCTCTCTGGCATCTACCTGATAATGTGGATAATTACCTTGGTGTGATCTGACCTCAAAAACCAGGACATATCCAAAATGGCTGAATACCACCCATCCATCTACTCTTGATCATCAGCAAAATGAGAGAGGATGTAATTTTGGCATGTAGAGTGCTATCGAGGTGAATAAAATTACACTTGAATAACCTCTCTACCACTCGGTTCCTGGCTTCATTACAGACTTGATTGAAACGTGGTCAAAAAAGGCTTGACTGAAGAAACCCAGCAGAACTAATATTAATGGGAAGTGTATAAACCTGTCCATTGGTTGAAGTCATATTATAAAGATAGTTGGCTATGGTTGTTGTGGGTCATTCACGGCAGATTCACAGCATAGTTGGATGTTAATCAAGCTGATGTCCCAACTGTCGTCAGCCGCTTCAACAAGCGGCTTCTTTCTATCGTCAGGTCAGAAATGAGAATTTTTGATAATGGTTGCTATAGGTGCTGAACGTTCTGCAACCTTAAACTAGTGAAGCATATACATCAGGACCTGGATCAGGCTTGGGCTGGTAAATGACAAGTAACTGTCAGTTAACAGCCATCTTCAGCGAGAGAGACTGAAACCACTACCACCACCATCCTCTTTTCCCCGCTTGAGTTCAATAGCCTCACCATAGCTGAATCCTCCACTCTCTCAAAATCCTGGAGGTTACCATTGATCAGAAACTGAACTGGGCAGCCATATACATACTATGACTGAAAGAACAGGTTCAAGTCTGGGAACATCCCCCAAAGCCTATTCACCATCGACAGGGCACAAGTTAAGAGTTTAATAGAATCCTTTCTGTTTGCTTGGATGAAAGCAGCTGCAGCAACAGCAACACCCCAAAGCTTCACATCATCCAGGACAAAAAGCAATTTGCTGGTTGCCCCACCGCCCCAACCCAAGCATCTTTCATCATTTACCTCTCCACCTCAGACCAACACCATAATACTTGTGATACACTGTATCAACTCGCCAAGGCTCCTTAAGTAGCACCTTCCAAATCATCAGCCTTTACTACATAGGATGAGGAGAGCAAATGCACATTAATACTTCCACCTGCACATTTCTCAACCCTCAAGCCATCCTGACTTTAATTTTATCAGAATTTCTTCCAACCGTATTGTAAAAATATCTACACCAGGCAGCTCACCACTACCTTCTTGGGGGCAATGAAGGATGGACAGTAAATGCTGGCCCAGTCAATGAAGCAAACATGCCCTGAATGCATTAATAAAAGTATGTGAACTTCTACATACCAGCGCCACTCAAATGTCAAGAGTTATGATTCTTGGGAGAATGCACCAATGATCAAGCCTCAATTCACCAGTCGCTCCATTAGTATAAATTTTGTTCTTCCTTGTACCAAAATGTCAATTGATTTTCTGACAATTAAGAATAAAATAATCTTTCACCAGGCTTTAATGAACTCTCTCTGCTTCATTAGGAACAAAGCTGTTTTATTATTAATCAGCATTTGCCACTTGTTTTAACACCTGAGCTATAGTTTTAATTTCACACTATCTTTTTAATTCCATACACACATTCACAACACATAAAGAGTAGTCTGTGCAAAAATGTTGAGCCTTTTTAAAGGCAAAGGGAAAGAATAATCAACTGCTGTTGACCAAAGGTTTGAAAACAAAGAATTGAATCTGATAACTTCTCATGTTCACTGAATTCCCTATTGGCAAGGTCAAATTACTGACAGATGTCAATTGAAGGTATAGATGTTCAGGGAGTTGCTCATTTCAACACTCTCTGCAGGTAGACAATGCATCTTGTCAGTGTTGATCAAGATCTGAATAACAATGTAGAAAAAAAATTATTATTTTTCAAAGACATGTCAATGTTTTTTGACTCTTGAGGCTAGCAGGTAGAAGTGAGTATTTCCTGCGTGGTGACAGACCTGAGTTGAATAATACACGTGGAGTGACTAATGCACAACTTACTATTTGCCTAATGGTATAAAGGCAAAAGTTATTAATGCATAACTTTTAAGGTTAAATCCATGATGTAAGCAGTGCACAGATTGCAGGAGAAAGCTTGTTAAATAAACAAAAACCAAAAGAACTGCGGATGCTATAAATCAGGAACAAAAACAAGTTGCTGGAAAAGCTCAGCTGGTCCGGCAGCATCTATGAAGAAAAATTCAGAGTTAAAGTTTCAGATCCAGTGACCCTTCCTCAGAACTGTGGAAATAAATGACCCACTCTGTCTTGTGCTCAAAGAGTTGGCATTGGATATTACAGCGTTGTTAAGGTTGGATATAAATTTCACTTTTAATGTTTATTCTGCTGTTACAGTAAAATTGTAATGAATCGAATTCATAAGTCCTGGAACTCAGTTATGGCAAAATGTAAGCCACTCCCACTAGAATAATAGAATATCTGATTGAAGGATGCCCATGACAAGTCCAGAGTTGTGGACTGGAACTCTGGATTAGCCAAACTAGTGCACTGTTGTTGCATGTCTGTACCAGTTGGTTGATACAGAGTTTTACATGGAATATAAAATCCAGGCCATGCCAGCAATGGCTGCAAAATAGTCTCGCTCATATCTTTATCTTAAACAAGTATTCACTAAAAGAAGTTTTTAATGTGGGTGAAACCGAGCTGTTTTACCATCTTGCAAGGTGTGAACAAATTGAAAAGAATCCATATTTTTCTCACATTTACCGATTTGCTGTTTTAAATTTTTTTGGCATAACTCATGTCCTTAGCAAATTGGGTTACATAGGGAACTCTTGAAGCCCTGCTGAACATGAATTAATGGGCTGGAACTCTGCGATTTCCCTTATCGTGATTTTGCTGTGTGCAAGTATGTAATGGACACAAATATTAGTGTTCGATCTGGTTGTTTAAAAAGTACAATATTGTGCTTTAGATGCTCACAATCGTTTTGTAGTATATTGGAGGCTTATCGTTTCCTTTTACAGAGACGAGACATAACAACAGGGAATGTAGAACCTACAGATGCAGAATGCGAATGGCATAGTGAGGATGAGGAAGAGCTAGCAGTAAGTCTCACTTTATGGAAAGATTTTATATTCATTATTGAATTGCATTCTATTTGTCATGAGTCTGCCCAACATGAGTGGAATTCCTTCTAACTTTTTATCCAAAATACAGATGCAACGCTATGATATGTAGAAAATACATTGATGTGTACTCTGCTTCACCGTTGTACTTTAGACCATAATAGAAAGTGTCCTAACCAAATTAGGATTACAGTTTCTATTTCTCCCAAGTCAAACTGTGGCCACAACTGATCTTTATCTTTTACTATTTTTAAGGCTAAAATGAAGTGCAGTTCGGTGGGTTTGTTTTTAGGTATATGGCAGCTGGTACAGACACTACTAATTAGTTACTTTTTTTTTGATGTGGAGGTGCCAGTGTTGGACTGGGGTAGAAAAATCTCACTTCACCTGATGAAGGAGCAGTGCTCTGAAAGCTTGTGATTTCAAGTAAACCTTATGGACTATAACCTGGTGTCGTGTGACTTCTGACTTTTTTTTTTGGATGTCATAGCTATGGAACAATTTGTATCTGGATTTACATCCATGCCCCATCGCTGAAAGGCCAATGTCTAACATATTGCACCATCTAGTCCCCAGCAATTAGACTGTGAAAAGCTATTTGGGAAGAGTACATGCTCATGAAGCCTTGCCTAAAATGTTGGGAAAGCGAGTTGGTTCTGCAAATGCAGCTCTCTGGTTAATGTAAGAGTGTGTAGTCCAGTTTTTTTTTTTTTTTTTTAAAATATGTATAATGAAATGATAGAAAATTTCAGTTTTGAAATAGTGCCATTTAAGATTACATGTGTTTGAATAACTAGGAAGAAATGAAGAAGAAAGCAGCAATTGAGGAAAAGAAAGAAGAAGCTGAGCAAGAGGAGAATCCCAAAGGAATTCCTGATTTCTGGGTCACAATATTCAGAAATGTAGATATGTTGAGTGAACTCGTAGAGGTAAGCAAAGGACTCATTGACTTGTGCTGCAAAACATTTTTCTCATTTATATGCAGTTTTGCTCCGTTTTTCAATTTTCAAAATTTATACTTTTTAGGCAGCAATAGCATTTGGCTTTGGATTTCATTTTGAACTTTGCCTTTTAATATTATACGCAGAGTGGTATTTTTAAAGTCTCTCATGTTCAGTCATGTTTCAATAAAATATGTATCAAATATTGGTCATAAGTATATGAAACACATCTTCTGACCATTCAGTAATAAGCAGTGTACCACTATTTTCTACTTTCAGGCATTTTGCTATCGTGCCACATCATTATTTGGCAACTGAAATTACTTTTTCCATCCAGGGATGACGATTTTTGAAATATTTTCTTTTGCCTATCCTGTGCATAAACTTCAAATTTTCTACCATTTGCCATCCGCCAACTAAGGATCCTGTGTGTTCATTTGTTAAAGTTGCGCTATGACCAGTTGCTAAGTCTTGAATTTTTTCATTATTTTCATGAAGCATCTTCCTCTGACCTTGGCCAACATCAGAAAATTGTGCATAAGTGTGGGCAGTATGGACAGATGATGAGTCTGTGTATCTATTTTAACTTCCTATCCATTTCTATTGAGCCAGACTTAAGTATTCCTATGCTGAACATTAACAGTAAATTTATTATTCGCAGGCAAATAGACTGTTAAGTAAGATAAACTATTGAATCTGTACTTGAGTCTCCCAGGTGCCAAATTGGGTTGTTTAGCACACTGGAGATATTATATGGGGGATTCTTTGTTTACAATTGGAATAATTCTGATATTGTGTCACAAATGCCCTGACACTATGCAATATTTCCGCAACATTCTTTGCGGTGAGTCAATAGTATTCAAACGTATCTTGCTGTAAGTATATTATTCTACCCAACTTTATCATTATCCCCTTTGGGATTGATTTCAAACTCTATTTTCTACAGCTGCAGCAGACCATAGGATAACTAAATTAACCAAATTACAAACATTTGAATACAGGTACATGTGGAAATGATTTTAAACAGTCTGTTAACTCTACATCCTCTAATCTCTTGTCCAATGTGCAAATCTGCAACTTTTTTTAAACATGGTACTATTAATTCATAGGATATGCTGATTCCATCATATTGCCAACTTAAGTGCTGTGTCATTTTGCCAAAGTTAGTGCTCTGATCTGTTGTTTAAACGGTTTCCAATTTAAGCATTTATTCTGAGTCCATAACACCTGTGCTTTCTAGATTTAAGGGACCGTGGTATAACTAGTATTTTGACACCAGAATCTGTTCTTCTGAAGCACCGTGCTGTTTATACAGTCTTGTATTTTGTTTGCAACACAGAAACAGGCCATTTGCCCTAACAAATCCCTGTTAAGTTGTTATGCTTCCCAAATCAAGATTCAAAGAATCTCAAAAACATTTCCTTACATTCTTTGCTTTATCTAGCTAACCCTTAAATGTTTCATTGCTGATCACTTCATCTACTCTGTGGCAGTAAGTTACACGTTCTAAACACACCCTGAATAAAGATATGCTTATTTCCCCATTGGATTTATTAGTGCCGATCTTATTTCTACATTTTTTTGGTTCTAATTTCATTTGCAAGTAAAAGTAACATTTTTCTATCTGCCCTATCGAACTCTTTCATGATTTTCATGATGTTTACCAGTTCGCTACTTGGATTTTTCTCTACTTTAGAGGAAAGAGCACTAGTCTATCCAGTATTTTCTGGTGGATTTAGCCTCTCAGTATAATTCTAGTCATTCTTTTTCCATCTGCACCAATGTCTCTTTCTTTTATGCTTTTCCATTCTATTGCTTTAAAAATGAACTATGGTATTTTGTTTGCTATTTTTGATCTTGCTAATCTTTTTCTTTTTACTTTTACTTTTTTAAGTGCTTTGTATAACTACACCCCCAGGTATCTTGTTCTTCACTCCATTTAGACACCAAGGATTAGATTTTAACTTAGTCAAAAACTCATTCACTTAATTAAAATGGTCCTCAGGAGTAATATAAGCTGCTTATTTTTGTCAAACTGTGCTACCTCTCAAATAATTACATTTAAAGTTTATTTGCCAATTATGCACCCTTTCAGCAAGTCCAATAATATAGTCCTGCATTTTGATGCAGTCCTTTCTGGCAACTAAGTTGTCAATTTCGTGCTAACTGGAAATATTGAAAATTGCGCCTGTTTGATTATGAACCATTTACATACCAAAATGATCCCAGCATTGCGAACTTCAACACCATTTTTGCATTATCCTGTAAACATTTTGTATTTTGAGCGAACAAAGGCAGAGTTGGTTGTTTATCAAGGATTTAGAGACACCTAGCATCAAAAGGAAATATCAAACATCAGAGTATTGATATGCATTGTCATTTCCATGCTTCTTCAGGGCTGGATATTTAACTTGCCTGGTTATATTTTAAATGCCTTCATTCTACAGGAACATGATGAGCCTATCTTGAAGCACTTGCAGGATGTCAGAGTGAAGTTCTCCGAACCCAATGAGCCTATGGTGAGTATTTGTGTAAACGCTGGGTTGGAAATCCAAGAAATAAAGGATTTAGAATCTTGAAACTAATTCTCAAAATCAAAAAAATGATGCATCGGGAAGTCTGAAGTATGGAAAGGTAGTGCAGATCAATCAGGATATGAAATGCAAGTTAAATTGGCGGAGGCAGGGAATCCTGAGATTTTCCCTGTATGCGGAGGAAATGTTACCCTTGTACTGCCTATCCTTTCAGCAGATTCCCTGTTCAACAATCAGCCTGATTGTTTGTCACTCTGGCTCTCGGCCTGCGGCGGACTATGGAAGCCTGGACCCAAGCGGGCTATAATACGTGGGTGAATCCGATCCCTAACCGCAGTGAATATCCGTAATTGGGGCGGGTAGGAGGAGAGACTAAGGCTGGAGTAGTAAAAGCACTTGGGCTTCATCTGACCAGTAAGAGGCATAGTGCAGTAAAGGACTTTGCTCATTTGCCGTCCCTTCAGCTACAGGCTTTCTGCAGACTAGGAAATCTGGCCAATGTTAAACCTACAAAGCAGATTAAATCAGGACCTGCAGCCGTATTGTTAGCCCACACTTGAGTAGGTTGGCTGAGCAGCCTTTTCTGTCCTGTTAAATCCAAAAGTAGTGTTGGGTTACATATCAAAAATCTGACCTCAACCCACCTTTCTTAGATTCACTGTCTTAATTCAGAAGGGCTTGCTGTAATCACTGGTGTGCATCAATCCATGGCAGTATTAGTGGGCATAATCACAGTGGAGACTAAGTCTTGCCTTTGCATTAAGGATACCATGCTACTACCACTATGGCAGTAGTACTATGCTAACTGGGATAGTTTTCAAACAGATCTGGCAACTCAACTGGGCATTCAAGAGAACAGCAGCAGAATTGCATTCAACTGCAATTTGTAACCTCAGCCTGGTGTATTCACCATTCTACTGTTGCCACCAAAACCGGATGAAGCCTGCTTCAATGAAGATGCAACACAATTCACAACTTCTCTAATTGATGCAGTCCATATCCAAACACAGTACGACCTTGGGCTGACAATTGTTAAGTAATATCTGTGCTCCACAATCGCCAGGCAGTGATTGTCTCCAGCAAAAGAATGTAACCATCTTCCCGTGACATTGCTGAGTCTGCCACTGTCAAGATATCATTCACTAGTAAGCGAACTGGACCAGCCATAAAAATTTATTTACACGTGGAAGTCCGAGGTTAGGAATTGTTGTCAACTCATCAGGCACAAGTCAACCCTGTCTAACACCTCCAGTATTCACTCCCTCCAGCACTGAGACACAGTAACAGTAGTGTGTACCATCCACAAGATGCACGGCTATACATCACTTTCCAAGGCTGTGATCTCTGCCACCTAGAAGGACAAGGGCAGCAAATATATTGGTACAACAAACTACAAGTACCCCTCCAAATCAGACATCCAGACTTGGAACTGTAGTTCTGTTCCTTTGCACTCAACCGGGTTAAAGTTCTGGGACTGTATCCCTAATAGCACTATTGGCATACTCAAAACATATGGACTGTCGCAGTTCATGAAGGCAAGTCCCCATCACCTTTTCAGGAGGAATTAGTGATGGTTACTGCTGTTCTGACCAGCAAAGCCCACGTTCCATGAAAAAACAAATGTGCTAAATGGATCTGCAAATAACACATAGTCTTTAGTTCGATGTAGAGAGTTAGTTGTTGTAGTTGGAAGTGATGGACAGATGTGGTGAAGTGCTTCAAAGTCTGTGAAACTTAACTTGTTGACAGTTGGATTGTTTGTCTGTTTTGTACTTAAATTGGATTCCATCTCGATGTTACATAAACTCCATTCAAGTGAAAACCAGTTTGGTTTGTGTAATCTGACCTTCTGCAGAGCTAAAAACACGATCTTAGAAAATGTGCGCTTGTTGGCTCAGAAAAATTGAAATGGAGAAGACTGAGGACATCGGTTGGGCTATTAAAAGGGGAGCAAACTTGGGCCTTCCCTTCATGCGCCTTGCTATTATTTCCCCTCTCTGTCCCCACTTTTGTTCTGCCTCCACCCATTCCATTTGCTTTCCCCTTCTGTCCCATTTTCAATCTTCACTTTCTCCATTTTTCATGTTGCTCTCTCCATTTATTGTTTATTTTCTAGTCTCAAACTCTCCTGCTCTGTTATCATCTGCACCTCCTTGCAATTCCCCCCACTATTTGCTTTATCAGTATATGAACGCTTATTTTCCTTCACTTTAGCAAGCTGTCTGTTCAAGTGACACCCCATCAGCAACTTACTGTGCCCTTATATTCCATCTGCCCTTTCACGTGATCTCTCCTTCCTTCCATTTTTGAGCAGTCTTGTTCTGGCTCTTTAATTCCACATGTCTTTGCCATCTTGGCTTCCTGTTCATTTGCTTAGTTTCTTTGTCTTACCCTACATATATCTGCTACCATTAATACACTCTGCAGGTCCACTCTGCCTTTTTTTTATTCTTCCTCTTCATTTTAGGATTTTGCAGAGAATAAGTACAAAGGCAAGTGTTTTTGCATCTGAACTCTGGGTGGTGCTATAGTACAATTTGTGGAAGATTCAGTCAATGCCTCCTATTAAGTTTTGTTACTTACTCATTGCAAGGAACTAACCCATGTGAAGATGGTCTTCTGGCCCTCGAGATTGGCTAGTATACTTTTTAATTCTTACCAATCTAAGAATTTCATACCAAATTTCCTTGAGGTTACTTCTATCGATTAACCTTTATTTAATGTATTAATTATTACCACGGTTTTCAAATTTGGATTCCTGGACTCGAATCCCAAGAATAGATCCCAGAGGTGGTGGAAGGTAGAATTTTGTACTTGCTACATTAATGTTATTTTTGTTGTTATGGTTAACCAAGGTAAAGTCTCCTTGAGTATGAGTTGCTGTCTGAAAATGTGCCTGAAGTACATAATAGATCAGTCAAATCTAAAGTCTGTGTAGTCCTGCTTCGTCTAATCATGAACATGGTGGACAATTAACAATTAAACCAGAAGATGAGACAAATATTTCCATCCTCAATGGGGAAGCCCAGAACATCAGTACAACAGACAAAGCTGAAGCATTCGCAACTTTCAGCTGTAAGTGTGGAGTAGATAACTCTTGGCCTCTTCCTGAAATCCTCAGCAGCACAGATGCCAGTTTCCAGCTAATTTGACTTATTCAATATGATATCGAGGAGGAGCTGAAGGCACAGGATACTGCAAAGGCTGTGGACCTCGACACATTCTGGGAAGAGTACTGAAGCCTTGTGCTTTATAATTTTCTGTGCCATTAAAAAAAAAGTGTGGTTCCAATACATCTGCAATTCTCACATCCACACATCAATCTGAAAAAATTGCGGGACAGTCCAAACCCAGCTACATAGCTAGCCTATCTGACAATATTTGATCATCATTTAAGTGGTGAAAAGAGTTGATGGTGTTATCAAGAGGCACTTCCTCCAAAATAACCTGCTTACTGGCATATGGTTTGGGTTCCACCAATCCTGTTCACTTCCTGACCTTTATGGTCTCTGTCCAAAAATAGTCAAAAGAGCCCAGGCCCGAGATGAAAGTAACTACCTATGACATCAAGACAGTCTTTGGCGTATGGCATTAAGGAGCCCTGGTAAAACTGAAGTCAATGAGAATTGGAGAGAAAACTCTAATTGGAACGATACCTGGTACTAATGAGCATGCTTGTGGCGGTTGGAGGCCAGTCATCTCAGCAGGCATTCCTCACTGCACTGACTTAGTCCCAACCATCATCAGCTGCTTCATCAGTGACCTTCCCTCCATTGTCGTGTCAGGAGAGAGGATTTCACTCATGATTGGTGCCAAGCATTGCATATTCATAACTCCTACTGAAGCAGTCTGTGTCCATGTACAGCAAAGTAGGAAAAGATGATCATGCTGAATTTTGCAGTGACATTGGTGCCAGTCTGCTGAGTTGGTCTCATCTCGGAGTAAAAGTAGTCTCTTTAAGCCCTCCTCTTTCAGGATTTGAACTTCATTCGTGCTTTGTGGTGATAAAAGTAATGCATGTTTTGAAGTGTTGAGCATTAGAACTTCTGTAGCACTGTTGTAAAAGAGAAAGAAGTTCTGTTGGCATTGATCCATGTATCCTCTTTAGTTTGACTTTAAAAAAAAGTGTATTTGTTCATTTAGCTTCCTGCAAACATAGCTTGAAGGGTCTGGCTCTAGTATACACTGGCATTGCAAATCATGAGTGGCATACTCTCTGTCTACACTTGAAATAGGGCATCTGTACCATTGGTGTCATTGTTGTGCACCCACACTGCAAAAGAAGCAGTGTACCCATTGTTTGTTCCTTTCCCATGTCTTCGTGGCCTTACCTCCTCACCACACCTCTTATGATTATTTCTAATTGGTTGCTGTTTCTGCACTATAAACTTTTTTTATATCTTAATGTAAGACAATCGGTACAGCAGGGATTAATTTTAACATTCTCGGCCCTGTTTTGAAATCCTTCTGTGACCTTGTTCCTCGATCTCTAACTTCCATTAGCTTCTCAACCCTCCAGAGCCTGTGCTGACCTATCTCTGGTCTCTTAAGCATCCCTGATTTCAATCACCCTACCATTCCTACACACTTTTTCTTCACGTCTGTGTTTTTAAAGCTAACCTTTTAACCAAGGTTTTGGTCACTGAGTTTCCTAGTTCCTTTGAAGTGCCTTATGTTAAAGATGTTTTATAAACATCGAGCTTTTGTGGTGCACTTCCACCAACACTGACCGCTATCTCCACGTATAAACATTTTCAGCAGGGATCGCTAGTTAGTAGTTTTCCTTCCGAAGTGCAGTGAATTAACTGAAATATTAATACAAACGTATGAATGGGGAAAAATAATTTTGGACTCCTAGTTCTCATGATTAGAATAGCTTAACATATGTAGTGAATTATTTTGAGATAATGATGCAAAGGAACAGACTTGATCTGTTGGAATAGATGCTGAATGAAAGATACTAAGTTCTTACAGTTTCAAATTGGGTGCATGGAAAGGGAGAAGTATGTATACTTTACAGATCCTTGAGGTGATGCAATAAAAAACATCCCCAAAAGACAACAGCAACATCTCGATGTCCTATTGCACTGTCAGGTCTGGATCAGTGTCAACGCAAGCTTGAGATATCAAGTCTACATTAAAGTGCAGAAGTACAAAGGCTGGTGTCACTCATGCTATCTCCCTGTTATGAGTGCAGCTCTTTAGCATCCTATTGTTCAAGTAAATTAAAATGGAGAAAAGCACTAAACAGGAAGTGTGAACTATGTACGTTTTGGTTTGAAAATTAGAAAGCCCTTTCTATACCCACAATTTGTCTGTGGATGAAAATGAAGAATCAATTTCAGTTCTAAGCCAAATGTGTGTTCTTTTATTTCATGGGTAATTTACTTTGGTGAAGGGAGGCATGTATCATCTCACCATATGACCATCGCGTTCTTTCCTTCAATGTAAAAACAGCCCATGTTCAAATTTTCTACCGTTGGGAGTAGATGAAATGCATGGTGGAAAATTTGCTATTTAAGATTATTCTCATTTTTAATGTTTTCTCCAACAGAGTTTTACATTAGAGTTTCACTTTGAGCCAAATGATTACTTCACAAATTCTGTGTTAACCAAGACGTACAAGATGAAGTCTGAACCTGACGAGACTGACCCTTTCTCCTTTGAGGGCCCAGAAATAGTTGATTTTGTAGGGTAAGTGAAGGGTCATTTAAAAACCTGATGTGTTCTTATTTGTGATAACGAGGTGTAGAGCTGGATCAACACAGGCAGAGCAGGAAAGCTGATGTTTCGGGTTGAGACCCTCCTTCCGAAATTCTTCCTGCTCCTCTGATGCTGCTTGGCCTGCTGTGTTCATCCAGCTCTACACCTTGTTATCTCAGATTCTCCAGCATCGGCAGTTCCTACTACCTGTGTTCTTATTTGTCACTGACTTTTGGAATTGGCCAGCCAGTTACGGCTTTGATGTGAAAGCACAGAAGTGGAATTATAGAAACTAGATCTAATGCGGAGCCAGCAATGCTTTCAGGGATATGCTAAATGACATCTTCCTGTTCTGAAGTGTCTCTCTGAATAGAGTGCTCCTTTCCAAATAATGTAAACTGGAGTTTGTCTTCTGCACTGTTCGTAACCTGTTACTTGCCTTTTATCTCGCATCAGGTTCCATTCCAGTGCTACATTAATCCCAGCAATATTATCAGTTAACTTTTCATTGTGCTGTTGACTCTTTCAAAGTTGGGAACATACTTACTGAAACTTTGCTTTCTGCATGTTTAACGCACCTAAGAGCCTAGGAGGTTCAAGTATTTGCTTTGATCGAATTTGTCTGTTTTTTTAAACAAGCAGATGCATTTCAATGAAAACAATTCTTTCTGACAAACATTGAGACATTAAGACCAAAAAAGTGTTGCATTCCAATGTCTGTTCAGGAAGGCAAGGCGTAATGCCAAGTCATTTAATTGATCCAGTTCAGAGTGAATCTGTGACAGTTCACGAGGAACAAAACTGGGAGACTTTTATGTTTTGTACCTTTTGGAATAGACGCACAGAAAATAGAAACAGGTATAGGCCACTCGGCTCTGTGAACTTGCTCTGCCATTCAGTTTGATAATGGCTGATCATCCAATTTGGTATCCTGTTCCCACTTTTCCCATACCCCATTTCTCTTTAGCCCCAAGAAACATGAAGTCTGGTTACGTTACATATTTGGTTGTCAGTGGGGTTATAATAGTTACACTCCAGTCGTAGGAACTGTTCCAGAGTGTAAAGAATCTTGAAAGGTGCACCACCCACCCTGCCACCTCCAGTTGCCTCTACACTGATTTCCTTCAGTTCCTCTTCCTCATTTAAATACGTAAACAGCTGTTCTATTTGCCAAAGCATGCCTGAGATGATCTTAAATAGCAGAGTTGGTACAGAGGTTCATTTCTAACTGAGGGTAAGCTATATTTTATAATCTGCTTGACATCAATCATCTGTACCTGATATTTAGAACCCAAGACTGAATTATCTTTGTAATGTGCCACAGTGTAAAGGTTACACGTGGAGCTCATATAACCTAATGGATAAGAAGTCTAATTCAGTAGCAGTGCCTTTACCTCTGGGCTAGAAGGCCTGGCTTCAAGTCCCACCTGCTCCAAAGGTATTTCATAACATGCGTGAACAGGATCAATTAACTTGATGAAATCGCTCTTGATTTATTTCTTCACATTATATCATGGTAATCATGTCAACATAAAGATATTCTAGCTTCTCTCTCCTCAAAAAGAATTGAGCATGTTTTCATCTTATGAACTGCTTTCATGTGTTCAGAGTGATGGCTAAATTCCAATTTGTGCCTTGTCCCAGTACTGCTCAGATGCTTAATGGCACAGCTGTCCATAGGTTTTAACAGCCAAGAAATGCATACTTCAGCAAAATTTAATGCTTCATTGGTTTTTCTTAATTCAAGAGATTGTACACTGTACACTGTGGGGAAGCAAATGAATTTGGCTTTGGGAACAGGTAATGATGGAATGTACACATTGTAGAGCTATTAATTACCAAAGGAGTTTGCTAATTGGAAAACAAAATGCAGTAAGTTAAAATTTTATAAATATTTGTTTTGTCGGTAAATAATTTTGCAGCATCTTAGAACAAGACTAATTTCCCTTCCTAGGTGTACTATTGACTGGAAGAAAGGAAAGAATATAACTGTAAAAACTATTAAAAAGAAACAGAAACACAAGGGTCGAGGGACTGTCCGAACCATCACCAAACAAGTACCAAATGATTCCTTCTTCAACTTTTTTAATCCATTAAAAGGTAAGGAGAGATTTTAAAACATCCAAAACGCAAAATATCTATAACCAAAGTGAAGAAAAATTCTCCGTGGAGTTGTTTCTTTTTGGCGTTAGATAATTCAGACATAGTCTGTGTACATGCAGATCCAAAAGTTCAGAAAAGGGTTTTTCCTCCAGTGTATCTCTCATGCTTCTGGCAAGCTAAGATTTCCGTATGCTTCTCAACAAAAAAACCTGAATTTGTATGCTTGATAATTTTGTAGGTTAGCATTGTCCAAACCTATTACCTGAAAACATGTAACTGGATAATATGCAATATGCACATTATAATTCTACTGACATCTCAAAATGTTGAAAATTTCCTCACTTCTGGATCACAGATAAAAATCTGTCAATTTTTACACTCCACATGCAAGAGTGGAAGGGTCAAACTGTTAACACAGCAATTAGATTTCCAGTACACTTGAATCATTTTCAAAAGACTGAGATTTTTTGGAGTACTTCACAGCAAATTTTTTGCAACAATTGTGTCTGGAAAAAAAAAACTATAGAATAATCCTGAAGTCTGTTTTGGAGAATTAGAAACTGAAGCATATGAAAGCATCTGTTAAATTTGGCAACACCTGCCAGCTTTAAATACATGAGAACAAACCTTTAAAGCAGCTAGAGTGTCATCTCTTTGATTATGGTGTGAATCCTAAATCACACTTTACTAAGTGTCTGAATTGTTCAACACACACTCCAACTTCGTCCAACACTTCACTCAGGATAGCTAGAACATTTTGTTGAAGCAGTACTAATTCCCAAGAATATCAATTTAAGGGGCAAACCAACATTTATACTGAGGGGGCGAACTCTGGTCAGCAAACACAACAGTTTAAGGATAAAGCTGCTGTACCAGTCTTAACTGTTTTGAAATAAACAGGAGTCGCAGATAGACAGGATAGTGAAGAAGTGTTTGGTATGTTTCCTTTATTGGTTAGTGCATTGAGTGTAGGGTTGGGAAGTCATGTTGCGACTGTACAGGACATTGGTTAGGCAACTTTTGGAATACTGCATTCAATTCTGGTCTCCCTAGGAAGCATGTTGTTAAACTTGAAAGGGTTCAGAAGAGATTTACAAGGATGTTGCCAGGGCTGGAGAGTTAGAGCTATGGGTAGAGGCTGAATAGGCTGGGGCTATTTTCCCTGAAGCTTCAGAGGTTGAGGGATGACCCTTTATAGGGGATTATCAAATCATGAGGGGCATGGATAGGTCTTTTCCTGAGAACTAGAGGGCATAGGTTTAAGGTGAGGGGGTGGGGGGAGATTTAAAGGGACCTAAGGGACACCTTTTTCCTAACAGGGTGGTTTATGTACGGAATGAGCTGCCAGACGAAGTGCTGGAGGCTGATGCAATTACAACATTTAAAAGGCATCCGGATGGGTATATGAATAGGATGGATTTAGAGGGATATGTGCCAAATCCTGGCAAATGGGGCTAGATTAATTTAAGATATCTGGTCGGCTTGGTCGAGTCAGACCAAAGGGTCTGTTTCCGTGCTGTACAGCTCTAAGACCGTAACTAAATAAGGCAAAGTACAGGAGGCAGTAATATATTACGTGGAGATGAGGCAAAGGAGAAACTGCACGTCAAATCCGTCACAAAATTTGTCATTGATAACCATCAAAAGTGTAGGCTTGCTGTTCGATACAGAAAATAAATAATGCAGTGAATGGAGTACTGTGTACAGAATAAGTTGGCAGTGACATGCTTAATATGCTTGGGGATGGGAGGCTGTAATTGGATGCTAGTGGTAGAGAATAGAAGAATCGAGGATTGGCTTTGAAGCATTTTATTTGGACAAGGTAAGGCCAGGAGTGGATATTAGAAGACAACTATTAGTTATGAAAAATT